CACTTCTTCAGCGAGGACGTGCACACACGCACAGGAGAGCAGGAGAGCGAGGATACACAGCACGTAGCGCATCATTACCATTACAATACTTCTTGTAGTAGTCTTACTTCAATCGCTTACAGAAAAAGAAAAACAGAAACAAAGTGAATCAATGAATAAACAACACAAGATGAGAACACATTCCAAATTAAATAACACTCAATAATCACAGCAGAAGCACACACATTGCAGAAAACTGCAACCATAACTCAGATGGTGCCCAAATAAAAGAATCAACCCACACAATACCCATTACCAAACAGATAATCCCAATTAACCCCTCAAAAGAAAAACAAATTAAAGAGCACAACCATCAAACGTAGACAGCACAGAAATACATCAAAATGCCTCTTCCTGTAGGACCAAGCACACTTACAAATATACTTATGTATTCTTTATCATTTTTTCTATCCGCACAAAACACTCCAATACACAACAATGCAGGACAAAGCACACAGTGCCCAAGCAAAGAAAACGTGAACAAAAACATAAATTAAGAACAGGACCAACCGCAGAGAAATAACACACAGATCACTGCGTATGCTGGTGTGTTCAAGCAATTAGGAATACAAATTGTATTAACTACTATTTTTTTCTTTGCTCTGCACAAAGCAGACTAACAAAACCGTACAGGGGAAAGCACAAAATAACCCAGCAAACCACAAGCAAACAAAGAATCATGTATTAATCATTAGCCCAACGTACCCAGTAAACACATAGAAATACACCAATTATGGGTGTAAGTCTATATGTGTGTATATATGCAATTATAAATATAAATCCATCTGTTATTATCATTTCATTTTCGCACTACAGAAAGCAGTTCATCATCATCACAGTGCAAGCCCATGTGCACACACACAGAGACAGTCTCCAAGAACACACACAATACCCCATGGCTCTATATATTACAATACTGCACACACACATCTGTGTACTAGCAAGAGATGTATACCGTCAGTGAGCAGAACAGCCCAGTT